GGTACGGATCCACGTGTCGAACGCACGAACGTGAACAGGATTCACTTCAAACCTTCCCATGAACGTGGATCCGTACCTACCATGCATTTCGTCGCAAAACCACTTCCGGTCCCGCCCACTGGTCCATGGTCCGTGGAAGATTCCTTTAACTCTCCATATACGGTGTGTAGGCTCACTGGGACCAAAGCAAAACAAGTATAATAACTGCATGATGTTACGGATGCTCGAGGTTAGTGGATAAGGCCTATCTAGAAGAATCTCGGCGTGCCTAAGAGTTTGAAATGTTTTATGGGACTCCTTTGTCTCTCAAGGAGTCGCTAATCAAAAGTCGCGATAGACGGTGAAGGGAGGAGAAAAACGTTAGACAACCACAATCTCAGAAGTCGAAGAATTTAGTTATCAAGGTGATGTAAAGCTACAGACACAAACCTGCAGAGTTTGCCATTGTTCTCGTCCAAACTGCCGGTGTTGGAAAGAGCTCACAACTAATGTCCGCGTCATTTCATTTAATTTGCCCTGAGAGAAATAAAACTTTCAGGTTTGTGGTTCCCATGATTTGAACAACTTGGAACTCACAGAAATAGCATTCACTTGAATAGCGTCAATGATGAACTCTTCCAAGTGATCATCTGGTGACAAATCCAGCTCTTCTGCGAGAGTATCAAGATGTATAACCTACAACTTCGCTGATGACTCAAACGAAATGAGAAACATGCGCTCTGGTGGCTTACGTGGTTATTTTCTGCAATGCTCATTAGAGTGAGAAGCCTGATCTTCTTCAACAGCACAGCTTCCTCGACCTGCATAGAACTTTCAATTTACCCTATGACACACGATTAATCAAGCTTTAACCATGGCTGGATGACTGACCTTGAGTTTATCTCCAACAAATTCAGGGTGGGCTTTGACAAATGCACGATAGTCTTTGAGGGTTCCGGAGATGAACAGTTCAAGAGCCGAGTACATCAATGGATCAGACTGAAAAAAAAACCGCAAAGCT